CGATTTCGTGGTTGGCGAACTGAAGAATCTTGTGCGTGCAAGGAATTAAAAATCTTCCGGCTCTAAGAGTGAACTAATTACTCGTCTACAGGTAGCAATATCTGACTGGGCAGACAAAATATCGGATTTTGTTGACGAAGTGAAGTAGCGAGAGCCAGCGAGTGTTCGGCCAGAACAAAATACTTCGATGTTGGAACGAGAAAACTCCGTAGACACTGACAAGCGGGGAAGCACTCGTGATAGTGTCCGAGAATTGGAATTACTTCGTTGCGAAAATGAATTGTTATAACGCGAGCTAAGAGTGATGCGTCTCGAAAGGGAAGTGTCTACGCCGCGATCCGAAGCCGAATTTTCCACGCGCGGGGTTAACGTGCGACACGTGGCCGAGATATTGAACGAATTTTCCGGCGACGGTGATAGTTTCATGAACTGGAAACAACAAGCCACATTAATCCGCGATACATACAACCTCGACGAAAATTCAATGCGGGTAGTAATTCATCAGCGCTGAAAAGGAAAAGCGCTAAATTGGTTTTAGCGCTTCGTAAGTTCTAACGTAAGTTCGGGCGGCGAGCACAAACAACGTCCACTTGAAAGTGTCAACTCGTCGCGCAGGAGAGCTTGATGGATCCAGGCGAGCTGGCACAACGAGCGGCGGACACCTAAACGTGCACGGAATCCCGAAAAAGGCCAGGCACCATCATCGCAACGAGCGGTCGACAAGGGGATGTCATAAAGAATTGAAATTACCAACCTCGACAATTTGTATCGGAACTTTGTGGAAGTAACTTCAATCGATTTCTGATGCTTCTACGATCAAAATGATATCTCTCATCGCGTAAATCGGACTATTTTTAACGAAATAACTTTTCAATTATGCAATCAGATTTTGCATATAATTTCGTTAAAAATAGTCCGATTTACGCGATGTTAGATATCATTTTGATCATAGAAGCATCAGGAATCGATTGAAGTTACTTCCGCAAAGTTCTGATAAAAATTGTGGAGGTTGGTATTTTCAATTCTTTATGACATCCCCTTGTCGACCGCCCGTTGCGATGATGGTGCCTGACCTTTTTCGGGATTCCGTGCTCGTTTAGGTGTTCGCGGCTCGTTGTGCTAGCTCTTCTGGGTCCATCAGACCCTCCTGCGCGAGGAGTTGACACTTTCAAGAGGACGTTGCTCGTGCTCGCCGCCTGACCTTACACACATGAGACCTCTCCTTTACAAAAGCAGCCGAACAAAGCCTTGCGCCTGGTGTTTTACTTCAGTAAACGTACGAGTCCCGCCGAATGTAAATACCATAGTTTTGAGTTGGAATGCTTATCCGTTGTTTATGCGATCAAGAGATTCGATATTTATTTGTCAGGCATACCATCCATAATAGTAACCGATTGCGACGGTTACAGATTACCTTTAAATAAGCAAAACGTCAACCCGCGAATCTATCGATGGAGATTATTCTTGCAGAATTATGATTACGAAATAGTTCACAGGAGAAACAGCAAAATAGGTCACGTCAACGCTTTGAGTAGATGTCACGGAATATTAATTTTAGAAGCTAATAGTTTTGAACAGGTATTATCGTTGAAATAATCTCAGGAGGAGTCTATCAAGGAAATAAAGAGACGATTAGAGACGATAGAAGATAAATTTTGTGAATTAAGAGACGGTCTAGTATATCGTAAAGTGAAAAACAATTTATTATTTTTACGTACCGCAATCAATGGAAACAAATGTAATCCGACCATCCCATGACGATTTAGGACATTTAGGAGTCGACAAAGTCGTTGAACACATCGTACGTGTGTATTGGTTTCCAAACACTTCGCAGTAAAGTTAAAACACACATTAGCAATTACCTAAAATGCATCGAATTTTCCCCGATCGAGGGCCGAAGCGAAGGATATTTAAATAGCTTTTCGAAAGATAAAGTGCCATTCGCGACTATACACATAGACCACTACGGACCCCTTGAGAAAAGTGGCAGAGGATTTAAATTTATACTTTCGATTGTTGACGAATTTACGCTGAGACACAGCGTCACGTGCGTGATTGGCGCCTCGGCCGTCGATCCTAGAGTGATAGTGGGGATACACCAGGCGTTGGCTCAGGAATCGGCCCGAAATGTGCAACTAATTCCGAGCACTGGTTTAGATAATTATAATGTAAAATTAAAGAGTGTAATAACCGAAACCATTAATCGCTCCAAAACACATCGAGAAAAGGACCACATGGGCACATAATAATGTTACTCGTGATTGAAGTAATCTTATATTTTCTGATGTCCGACCGGCGCAGGTCTGGTCCGGGGGGCTAACGTGGGAAGCGGGTGGTTTTTTAGTGAGTAGAAATCTCACACAACCAGATGCTGGCATCGTCCACCGGCGCCCGGTGCCTATGAAGGTTTTTCCACCCCCCCCCCCCCCAAAAAAAAAAAATTCTTATATTTTCTGATGAAGCCATCTTTTGAGTATGAATTTCTGTTACTTGTTCTTGTTTCGTATCTACCACGAAAATTCTCCAACGGACTGTCAAACATCCCAAAGAAATCGATTTTTGGAGATGTTTCTTAAGACATGATTACGGATGTTTTTCAATGTTCATTGGAAACTTTAACGTTGTTGAAATAAATAAAACTGATTAAAGATGTTTGCTAATAACAACACAAAAGTGGTTTGGTTGGGAAAACCAAAAGTGGACATTACAAGAAGATAATGACTCAAAACAGCAAAGCTATCTGTGCACATAATGAAAGGTAGCGAACGGTGTCCAAATAGTGAAGTCTTCTCCATCACCTGATGCTAATCCCATCGAAAATGTGCAGCAATACAGGGTGTCCCAGAACTCCTGTAAGAACCGGAAATTGGGGGGTAGCTGACACGATTCAGAACAACAATTTTCTTTGCAAAAATGTCGGTGGAGACTTCATTTTTGAATTATTAACGAAAAACACCGATCAATCACAGCGCCCGATTAACGCGCGCTCAGCCGCGAAAGCATAAGCTCGAGCCAGGACTGGGTAATTACGCCAGGTGCCGGCGTAGATAGCTGAGCGCGTGCTAATCGGGCGTTGTGATTGGTCGGTGTTTTTCGTTAATATTTCAAAAAGGAAGCCTTCACCCACATTTTTCCAAAGGAAATTGTTGTTCAGAATCGTGTCAGCTACACCCCATTTCCGGTTTTTACAGAGGTTCTGGGACATCCTGTATATAAAGCTAAGGCTTCGATAGAAGACAATCTAGAGGTTAAAACCGATGTTCGAGAATGGAAACTTCGGACGACAAATTGACACTAATGCGTAGAGAGAAAGAGTGAACAACACAATTGCAAGTTATTTTATTTAATTGTGTTAAGTCGTTTGGAAATTGCAGTGTAATTCTTCGACAGACTGTACAACACGTATTTGTCTCGATGCTTTTAGAAATGTTTTTTCTTTACTCAGTTAAAGAGTTCATATCTCGGTGAAATAAAAGTATCAATATCACCACAAGTTGCATGTAAAAATAATTCAAGAGAAGATAGTTTTTCTAAAAATACATCTTACAGTCGTTCGTTTTTCGTAATCAGAGATATTAAATAGGATAGATATTTAAATACATTTTTTATAATCTTCAAAATATTTAGTACTTGATGTAAGAATATAATATTTTAAATTATATGTCGTCAATTAACGATAACTGACACGGCTTGAATAAAAAGAATATTATCGATTACCGGTGACTGACGGTTAACGTGTTAAAGAAGAAGCCCGGTTCTAGACACCGAAAATGAGGCATTTTTTTACTAATTTAAAAAAAATAATGATAATCATGACCTCTTGCGACAAAACATAAGAAAACAGGGTGGTTTCCAAATGAGATATTGTTTTCAATCTTGATAGATCCCTCAGACAACAGCATTTATCCCCTTTCCAGACAGCACTTTTTTTTAAATGATTTCATAGTTCACTTCTTAATACAAGTGTTTTATTTGTTAGAATATTTATGATATGATATATGCTGTATCCATGCCTCCCATATTCAAGTAGATGGAGTCAAACGAGAACACGAATCATAGGGTGCAGGATTAGTAGTGTAGGAAAAGAAGTCGACTGAGAATCCAAGGATCGTAGATTCGAATCTCCGTGCCTTATTTGTCGTTCAGACTTCTAGGTATATATGATAATCTTTTAAATAGACAGCTTCTCTGCGACAGTTATCATTCGGAATTATAATATATTTTTATTATATACTTGTGTCATATTTGTAGTTTATAACTATATTATATGTTACCATATTTATATATGATATGATCATTATTATTACAACAAAGTTATGTATGTTGGATTCTGTAGACATTTAAAAAAAGAAAAAATGAAGAAAAAGAGATCAAACATGGGATGAATTGTACCGTAAAATAAGTAAACGTACAGAAGGATAATAATTGTTTCACAGATAACTGTTCTGAACATTCGATATCAATTTTCCTCACAAATAACTGTAACGAACAAACCAAATGAATATCCCTTATTATTATAATAATCGATATTCACAACGAATACAAATCACTTGTATTGTTCTCTTATTGATTTTTGTTGTATATTTTATTAAAATAACTTATTTTTAGTAAATTTGTACAAGATGGTTCACGTAACTTTTTTTCAGATTAAGTTGTAAAGTATAAATTTTATGAATTTTATATATAAAAGTTGTCTAATAGGAAGGAATACATCATGCGGTGTTTGTTTCATATCATAAAATCTCCTTTTTTGTGGTCACCATGTAACTGATAATATATTTGTCTAATAATTTCCATTAACATTCAATATGATATCTCTGTTAATTTTAAACAAACATTCATGCATGCGAATCCGCGTACCAAAGATAGTATTCAATAATAGTAGAAATATTAGAATAAATAGAAGATAATACAGAATAATCAAAAAATAATCATGGGTATAATAAAATCCAGTCACAAATTGATTATTTTTCCTAGTTAAATATAATATTAATATTTACCTTAACGTAAGCAACATAATGTCCCCCATGAATAGTTCCACTATGTTCAACAACACCGTACAAAGCATACATTCGCCTGTTTTTAGGATTCTTGCAAATAGGTGCTAGATCAAGGACTATCGGAAACGACACATGCCTCGTTACTTTCCGAAAATCAACTCGTTGGGCTTGAAAACGTTTCAAGTGAAGTATCAAAACTGCAGGTACACTAGAAATAAGATACTGCTTCGTGCTTGGTGTGCATATCATCTTATAGTTCTCTCTCACCTAAAATAATAGCATAACACTTTTACCGTTTTGTTATTTAAACATTTTTATTATTTTACAAAGAGGAACGTGATTAAGTAACTTTCAAGAATATATTCTCATTTACAAGTGAAATAAAGGTGACTATCAATCATTAGTCAAACACAAATTTCGATTTCACATTAACGGAAACAATTTTGAACAAAATCTTATTCAATACAAGCGTGGCGAGTGTTGATATCAAAGTAAACAAAGTAAGTTGAAAATGTTTAGAATGATACTCCATAATATGTGGAAAGCTGAACTTTTGTAAAAAGATCAAGATATTTTGATTAGTTAAAAAAAAATATATTCCATATCTTCAGTTAACTGTTGCGTTAATGCTGAGGGAGTGATTCAAGCGGTTGCTCTCGGAGAGGATAATAAGTAATACTAGCTGCGAGAACCATACAGGTTATATATGAGAAGTTGTATATGTTTTATAACATTAAACGAGACTACTATTTTTGTTTCTTATTTCTTTTTAAACGAACACTGGGATTTTTTGTGCATATATAAATTGTTCTGAGATCGTCAGAACGGTCGATACTTGGATACATATTGTACATTCGAATAAAGCAACGCGTCCGGTGAAGAGACGGTCGTCTGTCTTTTTGTTTGTGCGACAGTCGGGTATCGTCTGTCCGCGCGAATGCACCATGTTCTCCACAAGTAAAATGATTGCTGCGGCTGTGTTCGTGAATAAAGCGAATGATTATTAAAGTGGAAAAGGCGACTATTATTGAACGTATTAAAGTGTGTTTATTTTTTACGTCCTATTATACTGGAAGGCAGGATAAAGGATGAGGGATTTCAAAAGGGATATTGTTACGAGCCCCAATAGTTTGTAAGATAATTGTATCTACTTTCTTTGTAAGAGAGGCGCGAAGAGAGCAGGAGACATATCGTGTCTGAGGTTAATATCGTAAAGAGATTGAAAGGCTCTCGCGGTTTCGCTGAACGGATAGGAAACCCGAAAGATCGGGATCCTATCCCAAGTCCACGGATAAGGTTGGCGCAACTGGCGTACTAGACCCGGTAGATCAAAGGGGGAAAATGTGAGCGCCTTCCCAAAACTTAAGGTCCACGAGCGCGGCTCGACCTTAACGGTCGACAATGAGCGAAGCCGCGAGCAGGGCAATAAAACCACAGAGTGGGGAGGATTAAGACGGATCCGAGGCTGTCCGTGTCGAAAATCGTTTGGGATTTGGTTATGAGCTCTTGCCTTGGCAACAACGATATTTTCTCGTGCTCTCCTCTCGCGCTCCTTTCCTGGGTGTGTCCTAAAACGATATAAAGAGGAAGAACGAGGAGGTTAGAGAGGAATATAGAGCAATATGGAGGTACAGGGAAGACCAGCAAAACTGATTAAGGCGGCCCTAAGATTATACCCAGATAATCATAAAGGTATTGTTTCTGTGTAGGTTCAAATTAAAAGTGAACACATTAAAAGAAATAATAAGGAGTGTCTTATCCTTATGACTAAGGAGGTTTTTAAATTGAACTTCAGTGCGTATGACTGAAGACATCTAGTTTTAACAAAGTTGAAGATCTATAATAAAAAATAAGCGAATAGATTTACGGAAAAAATCAGCGAGGATAATGACAATAGTATAATGGGAACTTTTATTCCAATTCATAAGTTGGAGAGCAAGGGGATAATAAAAGATTTTTCTGTAGGCTACGATGTGCATGACATAATATTACATGTTAAATTGTCTGCTAAAATCCTCTTTGTGAAAATGTTAGAAAAAAGGGTGATAACAGAGAGCAAAACCGATAGAAAGTGGATTGCTAGTGAATCAGTCGTTTTGACGTTTGAAGGGGATGCATATCGCAAAAGATAAAGTTATATGGTTTGTATAGTGTCAAGGTCTAATGCTTCATTGAACCAGTCAAGAAATATACCAATTATTGGAGTTATAGGCACTCAAGAGAAAGATGTAAGGGAAAAGTTAAATGCATTTGTAATGGGGAGCTACATTTCCAAAGCGAGACTTGCGAGAAAGGGGAAAATGTAAAGAAATGCATTCATTGCAAGTAGGAACATTTCATTTTTAATAGACAGTGTCCAGAATTTAAGTTCAATAAAGAAATGAATGAATATAAAGCACTGAACAATGTCAGTTTTTTCCAAGCTAAAATAGCAATTATGGAAAAATATGGAAACGTGTTTAAAAATGAAGAGATGACAGGAAACTTTACCCCGAAAATTCAGATATTTAATTGTAAGTAAACCTTTCCAGAGATACGTGAAACTAATTTACAAAAGATATTAGAATTAAAGAGAATCGGTGGTATTGCACGGTGGATCAAACTAATAATTATTGGAATAGAAGCAACCATAAGACCTATGGTAAAACCAATGGTACAAAATCAGTGATGGTAAAATCCATAAAAAAAACAGCAATACCAATTAGATTACTCGAAAGAAACCTTACTGGAGAAACTTCAGGAAAAAAAAATAACGAAGGAGAACCATGGGCTCGTATTAAAATATAGAACAGTCGTCACCACCATAGCGACGGAAAGGCAATCTGGTTTCGTACTATCGAATGTTATAACGTGTACAAAGTATTAAAAGTAAAAGGTCATAAATAAAATATCTCTCTAAAGGAGACGATATAAATATATGTACTGAATCCTGGTTGAAATCGAAGGATCAGTTTGATTTGAACGGCTTTAATGTTGTCAGGAAGGATAGAATATGAAAAACAGGAGGTGGAGTTATTATCTTTATAGCTGTGACGGGGCAGACTTTTTCTGCCCGTTACGACAGCACCCTGACTCCGAAAGGACTTAATTCCCTCCTCGCCGGACATGCTGCGGAGGTGGTACGCGTGTATGGAGGAGCGAGTGGACCGCGTTGCGTAGAAACTTTCCCCGTTCGTGCCTTCCCTTTTTCCCTCGCGTATAACGGTGCGATTTCGCGCGAGCGCGGCAAGTCGTTGGTCGCGGTGTCCTCCACCCAAGGACAGCACCGGTACGGCCACCACCTGAAGGAGTAGCCGACCTCCCGAGATGGACAGTCAGCCATCGCCCCTTAGAGCTGGCACGAGGAAAAATATAGAAACCCAAAACCTGATCCAGCCTGGACATAGAGGAGGTGGTCGACCGTAAGAATTAGGGTCGACTCGCAATTAGGCGAGTTCGTTAATTAACGGTTAACACGTAGCGAGCGACACGCAAGCAAACGCTTTTGTTTTCGGCTATTCCAAAAGTTCTTCTTTTGATTATCGTGCGCGTGTGAGTGGTAATCGGCCGTGGACTCCACTTCGTCCCTTTTAGTAGACAGTACAGGGAATCTTGAACGCTAAGACCCACAAAATTCAGGTAGGGCCCAATAGTTGGGGTTCAGTTTGTTGTACGAATGTGCGAGCGCGTGGAGCGTGTGTGTGTGCCCGCGAGTGTGCTCCGGAGCACCGTCCACCCACGGCAGGACCACGCCCGGAAGCGAGAGCCCGCAAGGTTCCCTCCGTTCGTTTCGCATATCTACCGCGTGACCTTCTTCGGTTTGAGAGCGCGTCTCGTTTCGAAGGAAAGGGCCCCTTTGAAACGCGAAACCGTTAATTCACTTGGTCATAGTTTTCAAGATATTTGCAAAAAATGTAGACATGTTGATTTTAGGGTCCTTTGGATCCGCGGCGGACCCGTGATGCCCGGTGTTAGATGATCGGTTATCGCCTTTAGCACGCTTAGCGATCGGATCTGAATTACTAAGGTCTATAGAATTTGATGAGTTGATTCAGGAGTACGGAAAACTGAAGTCAAAGGAAAAGAATTTTAACTAAAAGTTTAGTTTCAAAAATCTTGCAGATGTTTATCCCCGAATATTATTTCTTTCTTGTATCATATGTTTCGAGAATGGGGCCAACGAAGGTTGGACAAACTCGGGCCCCCAAACATGTTAATCCGTGCCTGGCTCAGACGCGCTATGCCGCGAATATGCGCCCGCCAACCGTATACGATCCGCGGAGCTTCCTTGCGAAATTGCGACAATCGACCCGTCCCTCACTTCGACTCCGCATCCAGTAAAGGAGAAAGCAAATGGGAAGAAAATGCCGTTGCGAAAGCCTCGATTTTCCCCAGCTCGGGACAGCGACGGCGAACTGCGACCATTAAAGGGGCAGGTGCGTTTTTCGACACATCCAAGGGAGAGGAAGGCTCGTCCCCTTTGAGATAAGCAAATTCCCATCCACTCTTGCCAAGCGGAGAGTGATGATGCTCCCCAGAGGTCGGCCGAACGGTGTCGTGATGAAAGTCACGATGTCGGACGCCGACCTTCTTCCACTCACGAGAGGCCGGCTGAACGGTTTCGTGACGAAAATCACAATATCCAAAGCCATTCTTCGAGCGAGAGGTCGGCCGAATGGTACGGTGACCTTCGTCACCAGTCCCGACGCCGATGCTCCACCAAGAGGACGGTTGAACGGCGCGGTGACCCTTGTTACCAGTACCGTTACAGTTCCCCTACCGCCTAGCTAGCGGAGTGGTACCGGAACACGAGTTCCGGGTCCAGTTGCAGCGTTTCTGGCAGTGGGTCGTCGGTGCCGGATAGCGACCTTAGTCGCGAGTCCCACCGCTGCCACTATTCCCTTCAACGCTCTCCCCACCGAAATTATTTTCGAGGAAATCGAGTCGTCAAGATTTTGAATTGGTGACAAATCGCTTATTCGAGCGGGTATGGAGCCGAAAGATTTCTGAAACGACTAAATTTGTGCAGAATCGTGCTGGAAACGTCCTCCACTTGTGCTGGAGGTTTTTTTTCAGGCGTGGCCGAAAATTGGTAGCACTATCGTGGTTCCAAATGCCGGTCGTGGCGCTCGTGTGTCAATGCATTTCAAAAACGTTTCGAGAGTAAAGACTCCCAACAATGACTTTTGAGTGATACCATCAATCTTACCAAGTGAGAAGAGGAATCTATTGAGGCATTCCTGGACACCCTCCAGCTTATTTTTATGATTAAAAATCAATTCATTTTT